GCCCCCGAGAGCCCCGTGGCCGCCCTGAGCCTGCAGGAGAAACGGGCCATCAACCTCACCTGGGCCAAGCCCTTCGACGGCAACAGCCCCCTGCTCCGCTACGTCGTGGAGGTCTCCGAGAACAGTAAGGGGCTGCTGCCACCCCCTGAGAGGTCCCCAGTGTCACCCTGCTGCAGAGGACGCTGCTTGGGGACCCCGGGATGGGTCAGCCAGGCTGGTGACCCCAGTGTCCTGCAGGCCAGGTCCCCACCCTGCTGTCCCCTCTCCCCCAGATGCGCCCTGGACCGTGCTGCTGGCCAGCGTGGACCCCGAGGTGACATCGGTGACAGTGCGGGGCTTGGTGCCCGCTCGCTCCTACCAGTTCCGCCTGTGTGCTGTGAATGACGTGGGCAGGGGACAGTTCAGCAAGGACACGGAGAGGTGAGGCCCGGCCTGGGGGGGTCCTGGGGGGGCTGGTTGGTGACCCCAGTGCTCACCCTGCCCTGTCCCTGCAGAGTGTCCCTGCCCGAGGAGCCGCCCTCGGCGCCCCCCCAGAACGTCATCGCCAGCGGCCGCACCAACCAGTCCATCATGATCCAGTGGCAGCCGCCCCCCGAGAGCCACCAGAACGGGGTCCTCAAGGGCTACATCATCCGGTAGGTGCCAGCTGGGGTGCCCAGGGTCCCCAGTCTGGTGTTGGTGGGGACAGTGGCAGCTCTGACAGCTCCTGGTGCCCAGGTACTGCCTGGCCGGGCTGCCCGTGGGGTACCAGTTCAAGAACATCACCAACGCCGAGGTCAACAACCTCCTGCTGGAGGACCTCATCATCTGGACCAACTACGAGATCGAGGTGGCCGCCTACAACAGCGCTGGCCTGGGGGTCTACAGCATGAAGGTGACAGAGTGGACCCTGCAGGGAGGTAGGCAGGGGCAGTCAGGGGTGGGCAGGGGCTTGGTGGGCACCCCAACAGCATCAGGTGCCATTGGGGTGGTGGGATGGGAGGCCCCAGGGATGTGCTGGGCAGGGATGAGCCAATGTTGGCACCCAGCTGATGGAGGGCACCTCGTGGAGCTGTCCCTCTGAGCTGTCCCTTCATCCTGGCAGTGCCCACGGTGCCTCCAGGGAATGTGCAGGCTGAGGCCACCAACTCCACCACCATCCGCTTCACCTGGAACCCCCCCAGCCCCCAGTTCATCAACGGCATCAACCAGGGCTACAAGGTGAGGGTGATTCCCAAAACCAGAGCAGCTTGTGGGGAAAACTTGGTCAACCTTCACAAACTGTCTTGGCTCCTCCTTGCTGAAATCCCTGATTTTAATTGGCTCTCTCCTGACTGTTAAAATAATATTTACTGTTATTTAACACTTGCATGGGCTCGGAGTCTCCCATGCTCTGTAATTAATTCCAAATTGCAATTAATTCAAATTTACATTAATGAAATTGAATTAAAACATTAAACTTGTGTTTTAATCCACTCGAAAGAAGTTCGGGAATTTAATTGCTGCTCAATGAGATAACCAGCGTGAGCAGGATATTTAACATTCCTATTAAACGCCACTTAGTATTTTTGATTAGTATTTTTAGGGCCTAATTAGTGTTTAATTAAGTTGCTAGAGGCTATCTTGCACAATTCCAATTAAATGCCCAGGATGCGGGCAAGGGGGGGATCCCGTTATCGATGGAGTCAATCACAGCTCCGTAACGGTGCGGGGAGCGCTGGATGCCGGCGCTGTTTAATTGATCGTTAATCAACGCCTAATTAATAAGAGGCGGCCGGAGGTGCTGTTTTTGGCATGGAGAACCTTCATGGCATCTCCTTTCCCCTTCAGCTCATCGCCTGGGAGCCGGAGCACGAGGACGAGGCCACGGTGGTGACGGTGCGGCCCAACTTCCAGGACAGCGTGCACGTGGGCTACGTGCCGGGGCTGCGCAAGTTCGCCGAGTACC